CACCCACCCCCCCCGACCCCCAGATCCCCACCTGCCTCAGAAACACTGTTTGCTTTAAAGAAAGCCCAGCCTCACATCCGCTCGATGCTCCCGACCACCCGCACACACTCCCTAATGACAATAGCTATTGTCGTACTCTGGGATCCCCGCTCTTTGGTAGCTGAATTTGCACACTTAAATCTCCCGGAAGCTTAATAGGCTCTGTTTCAGTTCGGTAAAGAGCCACACGACCATCTTTTTTAAAGAACCTACCTTTGCAATTTAAAAAAGAGGAGGTGTGTGACATGAGGGGAAGAGCCCCAGAACTCATGGGTGTCGCCTCCCTGCCCCAGCTGGAACGCCAGAAAACACACGCATTTTTGCAAAGCAACAGCGCACTTAACAACCGGCCTCCTACCCGAGAATGCAGTTGTGCGGGGCTGCAGCTCCTCACCCCAAATCCAGCGGTCCTTGTAGTTCTCTCCTCCCACCCCTGCCCCGTCCGGCCCCCGGCATCTCACGGAGCTCTATCCTCCCAAACCCGGCTAGGCAGGCGCCGGCCCTCCCTCCCCCAGCTCCGCAGACATGTGTTCACGTGGATTACACGTATGTAATCCAATCCTAGAATGACATTTTACATGGCCCTATTGTGAAACCTTCCACTGGGAGCATCTATGATGAGTGTTGTAGAGAGCACGTTGGAACCATCCAAGAAGGGGCTGACTGGTACAGACACTGCCATGGAGGAGACTCTGCCATGGAGGAGACTCAGCTACTCCCGCAGACAAAGTCAGAGGCCGAGTGCCATAGGGTGAAAACTTTGCCTGTTTCCTTCTCTTTCCCTCCAGTTTTCTACCACTCACTCCCGTTTGCTCAACCTGCTGGGTCGGTTGTCCAGGGAGCCTGTGTCAGGGCGGTCTTGAGGACACAGAGCAGATCGGGGAAGGGCAGGTGACAGGCCTGAGTGTGAATTCACAAATGGTGGACATGTCCTCCACTAAGGCGGGTGGCCCACCAGGCAGAGGTAACCTGTGTTAGTTATTGCTGCTGCATAACAAACATCCCCACACATGATGGCTGAGAACAACAGAAACTTCACGGCCAACAGTTCTGCAGCCGGGGTGCGGGTCCCCCATCTTTCAACTGCGGGGTCTCGGAACCTTCCTCTCCTGTGTCCTGTGTCACAACCTTTCCCGCAGGTGGCTGCAGGCCCGGGGGGCGAGGGCGCCCGCGTGCAGGCCTCTGCCGCGGCACTCACAAGGGCTGATGTGGTCGTGCTCGTCCGTCCGCGTGTGTGCGGGCCTCGGCCCGGACGGGTCCCCGCTCCTGCACGACGTTGTCATCCTGCTGGGACCGGGGACCGTGTGGGGCTCTGAGGCTGCAGCGGAGCCAGCTTCCCCTGGGACAGCGCCGCAGGTGTCGGCTGCTGCACAGACGTCAGAAATCCTAGCGCGCGCGCTANGGCGGCGGCGCGGCGGGGGCGAGGGGCGCGCGGCTTCCCAAGTCGCCAGGAGCCCCGGACACTTGACTTTGCTCTCTCCTCCCACCCCCCCCGCCGGTCACGGTACAAATTCTCCGGATCGTGCGGGTTAGAATCCGGTTGCGTAGACTGTGCAAGCGGCTTCCACTCACCCGGCGGGGAGGTCAAAAATGAAAAGACAGGGTGGTCCTCAAGCGAAGACGGAAGGGGGTGCGTCTGGAGGTAGATTTTTCTTTCTTAGAAATCGGGTGTCTGGGTGGGGCGTGGGAAGGGTCGGCGGTGAGCGCTTCCGAGCGCGGAGCCGGGCGGGCGGGGGG